TATCTGTTATTTATTCTTGTGTACTAAACTGAACTTTCCTTCTTGCTTTCAACAATGAAATATATATGTATCTATTTCACTTTGAGTTCTAAAAGTGTCCCCCAGCTACAGAAAACACAGACTTTAGATCTCGCCATACGCTTGCATTTATAGTGAATACACAATCATGTAGAGATTTTTAGAAATTAATATCTCCTTATCTATTGCAAAAATTACAAAATAATATAGGACAAACGACTCAATTCATTCTGTTCTATCTGCACACAAACATTGTCTCAAATATTCTGGGACACTGTATATGTATAATATGAATTCAAATTCATTATTACAACAAATTACATTACAACAAATGCTTACAAAGGATTATTATATTAATGTACATACTAAGAGGAAAAAAGCTTTTTATTCTTTTGTAAAGATAACGAGATTATCTTTTAGAATAATTTAGAATAACCGATATTATAAATTAGAATTTATAATGAAGAGATTGAACATGTTCAGTTTCAGTATGAACGCGTGATATGGGCTGCAACGATTGTCTTGAAGTATTATATGGAGTCGGATTGTTAATGTTGGGGGGGGGGGGGGGAGGGGAGATAATAATGACATCACTCGTACTAAATTGCAATGTGCGTGAATGCACCGACTATTAAAAGAAGCTTCCACAAATATGTTCTGTATATGTATTCTGTATTTGTATGCTTTTTGTATATATATTGATATATGTATTTGTACTTGTACGTTGTCTTATACATATATATTTTTTGTATTTATACATATTGTATATATAGTCTTTTATGTATATGATATATTTTTAAATGATATATATTTCTTTCTTAACGTTCAATTATCTATAAACGTCAAATAGATATCTCACTGTTTGAAATTAAAAACCAAGAGGATCACGTAAGCTGTATTAAGTCTCAATTTAGTCAGTACAATACAGCAGAAAACGAAATGGCGTAACAATTCCATGCAATTATTTATGCTAAATTAAGAATTAACGATGTTATTGTACAATGCATGTAGTGCGCAGATAATGAGAGGTAATTTTATTCGAGGCGAAGATTATTACAAATCGAATATCCGCGACGAAGAGGATGGCCCGGTGCCCTGGAGCGTCGTTGCCCCAGCCCCCAATGGATCCGTCATGGCATGGCACTCGCGCAGCAATTACGCTTCGCTCCCCCCCCCCGTCGCTGTGGTCGCTTCCATTTTCTCGACGTTAATTCGAGGACCGATCGGACGCAGACATCGGATATATTATAATCTACAGCGAATCTTTCGATGGGGAGCCCTCCTACTCCTGCCCCTTCCTCATCGTGCATCACCGAACGATACGCGGCGGTATATTACCGAGCAGGAGACTGTGTGGGGAAAAAAGAGGTCAGGGGAAGAAAGGGAAGGGGCGGGCGAGTATGGGAAGGAGGAGATGGCGATGGCAGTGAAATGAGCCCGCG